TCAACTAGCATCATTAAGTGACTTGTGTAAACGTAGTGAATGAGTAACATGGAAAAAAAAATTCATGATTTCCTTCAACTTGCTAATAGCTAAGCAGGGCAATTCAACCTTCTTTTGACCATTTTCTGACTAGTGACCAAACAGTATCTTCTAGGGAGATCCAACCATTCTTGTACCACTATAACACTACCAAGGACAGGCTTTCTTTGTCTTAAGATGGCTGAGCGCTGCTAATAGGAAAATGGTCTTAATGCCTCTGGGAGCTAAGATCTGACCTTGGCCACTAGTCAGCAAATCTAGGCATGCAGGAATGTTGCCCTGGGGTGATTGCAACCTGTTACAATAAGCCACTGAACATTCAGCCAGTGAAAGGAAGACTTCAAAGTTCAATGTGTGTTTGGGTCAGGGTTTTTTTGGGGGGTGGTGGGGGTGGTATTATTATAATCTCCATAATTATAATCTCTATTGATAAGGTGGGCTATGATTCCTCAAAATAAACAGATGCTTTTGTTTTTTCTTTTGTAATCAATAGGATGCCACCATGCTTATTGTGGGGATGGCTATCGGCGTGAAGGTGCAGAAGAATGTGATGGGAATGATTTTGGATACTTAACATGCAAAACGTATCTTCCTGGGTATGGCCATTTTAAAATTAAATTATGGAAGAAATGTCTTTGATTAAACAAGTGTGAACCCACAGGAAGAAGGCAGCAGTATAATTCTTTGCAGGGAAGGGAAGGATAGTTAATAAAGGAGGGATAGTTGGCTTAGAGAAAAGCTTCCTAAAGCCTAAAGAACAAATCTTCTGTATTTGCTTAGAGGTGGTAAGAGAGATTAATTTCATCCTAAATCGATGGTTGCAGAGAGATAATTAAGTAAGTCTGCAAAATCATTCACTCACTCTCTGATTACTTGGAAAACAAAGAGGAAAGAAATTCTGAAGTGAATAGATTGAGGAAGTAATTGTGTTTTGGAGATAGTTGCGTATCACCAAGAATATTTGATCTCAGTTACACAGGCACACACACAGACACACGCATACAGAGATCACTCAGCTTCCCTTAGTTCTCAGACAACCGTGAAAAAACAAGGGGTGGCCCCGAAGGGCAAAAATTTGTGGGGAAGGGTGGCAGTCTCCTCAGGTTTGCCACACCCTGTAATTTGAGAGAACTAATGAGAAGAGAGAGATCTTAGGTTGGAATGTGCTTTTGTTTGAACTGAAAGCATGTTGGCTATTGTAAAGGGCTGAAGGCCAAAAAAGTGGGTGGAGTGATAGCCAAAATAGGGATGAGTCCAAATCCAAAATTAAACATGACATTTGATTATATTTGTTTAATTAAATCCAGTTAATGATTTCCCCTGTTAATTTGCATTTCAATTCTTTTATTGTCAAGCTGATGGTAGCATTTGAATGGGCTCCAGGAAATGGACCATAGTTTTGAAGTGGGGAAGTACACATGATTACAGATTTACTTTGTGTGGCTTCCTAAATATGAATGGATATAAAGGCAATGAGGATTTTCTAGAGCTCCACCAAACCATCTTCTCATTACCCAACTGCTACTGAATGTTGTTCCATGCCACTCGGAAGATTTCTAAGAAGCATGAAAGAACCACATACAGGTAGTCCTTGGTTAATGACCACTCGTCCAGCAAACATTTGAATTTGCGACAGTGCTGAGTTGTACTTATGACAGGTCCTTGAAGTTGCAGCTGTTGCAGCACCCACGCAGTCACATGATCATGATTTGGGCACTTGGCAACTGGCTCGCACTTACAATGGTTGCAGCATCCCATGGTCACGTGATTGCCATGTGCGACCTTCCCTGCCGGCTTCCCGCAAGCAAAGTCAATGGAGAAGCCAGCAGGGAAGGTAGCAAGTTGCTCCCGGTCCCATTGCTTGTTCTCCTGAGGAGCCCCACTACAGAGTATGAGACGCCAGGGATCTCGTACTCTGTGGTACACACCCACCCATGCTCTGTAGTGCATGCCCACCTGGCCATGCTCATGCCACGCCACAGCACCTCCCCGCCCACCCATGTTCGCACTGGGTCGCAGCACTCCCCTGCCTGGCCAGCACTTGTGCCGGGCCACAGCACCCACTCCCTGCCTGCACTTGCGCTGCAGCACCCACCCATCCAGCTATGCCCACCCCTTGCCTGCCTGCACTCCGCAGCACTCACCCACCCGCCATCCTGTTTGCAAGCCACCTAAGGAAAGGCTAGTCATGACTGGGTCTTGCAACTTCCTGCCAACTTCCCTATTGACTTTGCTTGTTGGGAGCTGGTAGCAAGTTGTAAGTCACAGTCATGTGAAGTCCTTGCTTAATGACCTGAGATCCTCACTTAATGGTGGCAACAGGGACTGCCGGAATCAAGTGATGTCATGCTTTATGACTGCATCACTTAGCAACAGAAATTCTGGTCTCAATTACCGGCATTAAGCAAGAACTACCTTTGGGAAACATTGGAAGGGATGAGGTCACATAATCTGGCCCCCTTTTTTTTCTAATGAGATAGCATGTTTACTATTGAGAAATCCTCTTTTCACTTCATCTGGGCACCTACAACATCTGCATGCAAATATCCATGTTATTAGTAAGGAAGTTTAAATGTGTTATGAAGGCTTTCTTTGCAGGTGTCAGCCCTTCGATGCAGACCAGACATGAACCCCAAAGTCACAAATACTAAAACTACTTTTATTAAAGGGTTGTAGTTCCAGAATCTTGCAAGTCTGATTGTGCCTCCCCTCCTCCATCCCTTTATTTTCATGAAAACTAAGGAGGGTCAAGTCTGAAATGCTTTCTCAAATTCCATTCCTGCTTTGGGCTCAGATGTCTCTTTTCTGACCATTGCCTCGTCCGCGTCTCCTCCTCCCCTTCCTCAAGGTTATTCTCACAGCCCTTTCCCTCAGTTTCCCATTATTTGCATACTGGAGCCGTCTACAAAAATATTGCTATGGTTCTTCTCAGCAGGATACTTAGCTTGGACCTTTGCTTGCTTGCAATCTGACTTGTACACATTGGAATGAACAGCTTTCTTTGGTCAGCAACTTTCTACCTGCAGTAGCTGTTGTTCTGCATGCTGTCCGGTACTGTTGCTATCTTACAGGAAGCATTTAATTTGTAAATGAAATTATCTGCAGAGCTCTCCTGGGTCATGATAGAATAATGTGTTAATTGGCAGGGATAAGAAAGATAGCCCTGCCAAACCTCTGCTGTGCTGATGGCCTGGATCTAATTGTACCTCCCTCTAGCACCATGTCCTGCTGTAGAAACATTTTGAAAGACAAATGATTTTATGTTTATCGTTGATGCAAACCTTGAAAAAGTTACATTATATACTGATAGGGAAATTTAAAAACAAGGCTTCAGTTCCAGAGTCATTAGACTGCCAGAAGGAGACCCTCCTGGGCAGCTTCCAGATGAGTTTTTGATATGCAGGGTGGCCTCTTGATTACAGGAGCCTCACAGAACATCCAGATGATTTTGTAACCCTTCAGTCAGCGGCCCACCTTTTATCTCCCTTTGTTTACTCCCCCACTTCCTTTTATGGAATCAGCACAGGCAGAAAAACCTGGAAGAGAAGTGAAAATCTCCAAAGGCATAACTCCTCCACAAAACTTCACTCCTGGAGAATGTGGAGGTGGGGTGGAAGTGTATGGTGTATATGTCAGAAGGGGAGGAAGGATAGTTTCAGTAGCGTCAGTGGTTACTAATCTCCCCACTGTCATTCCATCCCATAAACATTTGAGTTGTGAGCATGTACACTTTTTTTTAAAGATGCCATTAATATGCCAAACACCACTTCCCAGGACAATTACTGTATATTTTACAACCTTAGCCTGCATTCTGTTATTAAGTGTTAAGCTGAAATACAGTTGATTTCTAAGCTAGGGAACAAAGGAATACATATGATGAGAGGCTTTTTTCTTGTTACAAAAGGCAAGACAATATCCTGACATTTTCTGTAGTTCAGAATTCTGAGCAAATAAATGAATGGAGGTGCCCAAGGATGCATGCTATTGACATTTTCTTGCTGCTTTCAGTAAAATGTACACTTCAATATAATACCTATCCGTGTTCTGACATATACAATGTACTTATTTAATCCCACTATTTAGTTTAAGAATATATCCTACAAAATAATTGTTCATTAAAAAGAATGAAGTTTTAGAACACCAGAGAAAGGAATACAGCCACAAATATCAGTGAATATTATATATATTTTTAAATGTATTAAAATACTTTTACTTATTTTACTTCTTCATCAAAAACAAAAAACAAAAAACTCCAACATAAATGCATGTTTGCACCAGGAAAGTTTCTATAGAAAGCCTTCAACCTACTGGTTTCAAAGTTTTCCTACAAAAATATGATTTCAGCACATGTTTAATAGTTATATACATCTGATTTTACAATAGGGACCATAAAAGGATAACATCAAAAGAAATTGATTCTTTTGAATAATAAATATGGGGAAATTAAAAGAACACATAGAGACAAATTGTAAAAGCCAAGTATTCTGTACATCTTCTTGAATGAAGCCCATCTTTGCTATGTCATGCAGCTTCCATGATTAAGTTGGATGACACAGTTTTGCCCATTGGCCCCACACACTTTCCCCATTTTGTTTTATGAATCTATGAAGGTTCCTTTCTTTATATTGTTTTGATCAATTTGAGATTCTTTGCAATGAAAATATTCTTGCGAACTTAGAACTTAGAGAAAAATTGAAGTTCTCCCCTATACCCCCAAGTAGAATGGACATTAGTCATACTACACAGGATAGATAGAAGTTTAGCTCATGCATCTGAAAGACATAACATTAAGGAAGCCTAAATTTCTGTTAGTCCTATTGTACTTTAATAGTATGTATTGATAAAGCTTGATTATGAACTTATCCAAAATGGTGGAATGATGAATATTACTATTGCCAATGGTACCTTATTTTATGCCAGAAAAGGAACTTATTTTACATTTTCTTTATATATCTATTTTATCTTTCTTTTTACAGAAAACAGTATTCAAAACACATCTATCCTTAATGTCTTTAAATTAAGATATTAAAACTATCTGTTTAATTGAGCATCATTTTCTACCAGTTTGGACGAAATGTTTACATGAGATAATTTTCAATTTCTATTCCTTTTTTAGTGATCATTTTAAATAAAATTAAGCCTCCTTGAGTGTCCTATGAGTAGATAAATAGGGTATAAATGTAAATAATTAATACATGCAATATGTTTGCAAAGGAAGCTCTTAAAACCCAAACCAAATAATCATAATAATAGTATTTAAATTACATTACATCATTTTATATGTAACGACTGTCTTATCTTTTCTCTTAGGTCTTATGGAAAATTACGCTGCACTTCTTATTGTTACATTGACTCTACTGATTGTCGCTATTTTACATGAAAGATGGGCAGTGAGAGAGGACGATCCCATCTATGATATGCATGCATCAGGTGCTACATTATCATCAAACCAAGACTGGGCAATAGAGAAACAACCAACGATGAAACAACCATTGTCATGTTGCCATGGTGATTGGAGATAAGTGTTAATTGCCTACTCACACTGAAAGAAAATCGGACCATTCTGTCCCGTCTTAATAGAAAACGTTCAGTGATAGTAACGCTCAAGACTTGCCTTTTCCATGACTGAGTACGGGAATCTTCCTGTGCATCAAGAACAAAACCAAACCAAAGGAACACTGTATTTGACTTCATACTGTTAGGTTATTAAAATACAATAATACCTCAATTTAGCACTGTTAGTTCTATAAATAAGCTCTTCAGGTTTTCTTAACAAGACTTTTCCAGGATAAACACAAAGCATATTCTGTTGGCAGTGTTTATAAGGACTTTTTTGTTTTTTTGTTTTTAATTATTATTACAATGTGAACTTCATACATGCTTTAGCTGCATGAATTATGTGAAAAGCTCTTAGTTTATGTTTGTTGATTTGGGCAATTTAAGCTGCAGCCCAACACCCTCTTATATAGTATTAAATCTCACTGAACTCATTCAGACTTAACTTCTGAGTTAGATGTGCCCAGATAAGAGTCAAAAGGAAATAAAGACTATTCATTTTTAGTTTGTTTTTTTTAAAACAAACCCTATATTAAATAAGAGAGATGTGGTGAGATTAAATTATACTTGTTGACAGTAGTTTAAATGGGATAGTCAGAAGGGAACCACATTTACTGGTTAACAACACCAATGAAATAGACAGACATAGTTCAGAATCCTAGGAAGACGGTCAGCTTCTGGTGCAGAGAAAAACAACACCTTGAATTCATATTCCCATCAGCCCTAGCCAGCATGCCAATAGATTGGTAATGATGGAAAGTGCAGTTTAGCAACTTTGAAAAGGCTGCATCACATTGTGTTTAAAAACTAAGGATTCCTATGCAAGTTTATCTAGATGCCAGTTTCATATCCAGTGGGGCTTGCATTCAGAAAACTGGGACTAGGGTTGTAGCCAGATTTCCGTACAGGACTGCAACTCCAGGACAATAGCTTGCATGGAGCAAGCTTTCGAATACACTCTTCCATGCGTTGTATTCATGGAAAGATTTGGAAATAATAATATCCTAAATGAATTCATCTAAAGTCTGCACTGTTAAATTTACCACTGCGTGGAAGGCTGCATTTGGAAAATTGAGTTGCATTAATGATAATTGCTGAGAAACTTGCAATTACAAACTTTAATTTCAGCTTATTTGCCAGGAAGTGGTAACTGACTGTTACATATGAAAGAGTCACTCACTTTTATTGATTTCCAGTCTGATCATTGCTTTCCAGTCTCAACTTTGTGTAACATTCAGTATGATTGTGTATATATTCTATTTGTATAGCTTATAAGAATAATGCCTACAGGGTATTATTCAGTCTAAATGCTGTATAGATTTTATATGTATATAAACGGCTTTTTCTTCCCCCCCCCCTTTTTTTCTGATTTCTAGAAAAAATTATCAGCATTCAGGATATTATTGACTTTATAGCAGATATTAAAAAGGCAATTTTACGTTGGAAGTATGCTAAGTAAGATAAAAATGGAAACTTTAAATGAAGGTAGATTTATTCTTCATTTAGTGAAATATCAGTTCAGATTAAAAGAATTAAGACAGGCCAGTCTTTTCCTGCTATTAATGATCCAAAATGTATGTTTGAAATGCATGAAACTTGTAAAACATTGGTTATCGTTATATTCTGCTTTTTCTGTAGATAATGAATACAGAGGATGGCACACAATTATAATAAAATTAAATTTAAAATAACAACTATCCATCCTTTTTACCATAGATATATAGATTATTTTAATTCTGCATGTGTATAGTAATGTGAAAATATTTTTTTAAAATAAAAACCATTCCATTATTCAGGTTGATGCTCCTTTATCTGAAATGCTTATATTGGCTTTCCCCAATCAGGAATCCACCAGATGTGCTCAATTACAGCTTTAGTCATGCCAAGTCAACCTACCGGCTATATGTGCTGTACCTCAACACATCTGGAGGATTCTACGTGGCAGAACATTAGGTGTGCCAAGGTCACTTGAGTTCTATGGCACATCTTTTAGGATGCTTTTTAACTGTGCACACAATTTGCATTCCAGCAGAGTTCAGGGTGCCAAATGTACTGTGAATTTGTCCAACAGCCATAATATTCCATGGTTTTGGATTGTTCCCAGTGACTATCATATGCTCAGGGTGAGGTGCTCAGAAGGCTATATTTGTACTATAATGTCTCCTTTCAGTTTCTTCTGGTAGGATTTAACTGCATGTCCATGACTGTATTGCAGGTTCATGACTGTATTCTCTGAACCTGTTCCACTTTGTCTGAACCCTTTTTAAGACTGTGGTGCCCAGAACTGGAGACACTATTCAAGAAGGAATCTGATTAGTGCAGAATACAAAGCAACTGATTTGGAAACAATAACTTGAAACAATCTAAATTTGCATACAACTGACCTGTATCTTGACTTGTATGACTCTTTTTTTAAACTTTACCCCCATGATCCTCTCATCTTGTCTTATATCTCTATTTAATATTTCAAGAACTAAACTAAAAAAATAGACGAGACAGTGGGAACCTTGTCTTGTTCCTTTTTGTATCTCACATGGTTTAATTAAATCTCCATTAATGATTATTTGTGTGTCTGTGAAGTATAAATTGATTTCACCCATTTTATAAAATTGTCCCCAAAATTCACATCTTCCAAAACTTTAAACAAAAAAGTCCTGTTCAAATTGTCAAAAGCCTTCTCTGCATCTAAAAAGATCAATGCGGCTTGTTTGTCGTTATGTTATTTCAAATATTCCAAAATATCCAAGACTGTTCTACCATTACCTTTCAACTGTCTTTTAGGTAAAAATTTGCATTGCTCTTAATGCATAAATTCTTGCAAAATTATTTTCAATCTTTCAGCTAAAATCATTGTAAACAGCTTATAGTCATTATTCAATAATGATAATGGTCTGTAATTTCTTACTGAAATCAAATCTTGTCTTTCTTTAGGTATTAATGTTATATTGGCCTCTTTCCAAATCTCTGGTACCATTCCTTCCTGTAGAATAGAATTCATTGTACTTTGTAAAGGTTTGTTAACATAGATAACTGTTGCTGTAAAATCTTAATTTGTTGGGAGATACTTGTATTCCCTGGAGAATTCCTTAATCCTTCTTCTTTTCTTTTTATTCCATCCAAAATATTTTGTATTTTCTCTTGCCTCCTCCTCTTAATTTCAGTATTATGTTGTATCAGATAGCCTCCAATAAAAGCTTTACTTGCATCCCAGACCATTCTCAAATCAGTACCTTTATTTAAATTATTTTCAATTTTTTAAAAAAAATTCTTTTCGCAATTCTCAACAACTTCTTTCTGTAACAACGCTTCATTTAGTCTCCATCTGAAAGAACTAGATTTTCTTTTATAAACCAGACTCACAGGATTATGAGCTCAGAAGGTCTTTGGTAAAACCTCTAGTTTGAAATTTTAGTTGCCAAGTCTCCTGAAGTCCAAATCATGTCTATTCTTGAAAAGGATCTATGTCTTTCTGAAAAATAGGTATACTCCCTTGAATTACCAAGATTTTTGGTAGCTTACCTTGAGTAATTTTAATATTATTCTCAGAAGTCCTATGCAGTTGGGGAGAGACCACAGCATTCCAGTCCCCCAACAAACACCAACTTTCATAAGAAAAGTCTGTTAATCTCTTCATAAATTGTTTATAAAAAGTCACATTATCCTCATTTGGAGCATAAACTCCCAACACCATAATTGTAACCTCATGTAAATTGACTTTTGCCCCAACAAATCTATCATGTTCATCAGTTAATACATGATAGATTTGTTGGGATTTAGTTGAGGGTTAATATACAAAACCATTTCTCTTTTTGGTATCTGCTGAAATAAATTCTTCACCCAAGGATTTATAGGTCAGATACTTTATATCTTTGTTTTTTAATATGAGGCTCTTGTAGGCAAACAATATCTTGCCTTAATTTTTTCAAATGATGAAATATTTTTTTCTCTTCTGAGCATTTTCTCCATTCATATTCCATGTTAAACTTTTGTAATCCATAATTAGTCCAAAAATTTAGAAAAGTCAAAACCTGTAGCACCTGGTTCAGTATCATCTTTTCCCCATTCCCATTGGAATCTGCATCTGTTGTGGCTGTTGTAAAGTTCCCTCTGAGACCTCCATTTCCATTTCCTCCAATTCTCCTTTATATTTTTCTAAAAAATCTCTTGCCTTCTGGACAGAATTCAATCTGAACCGTTTTACCATGTATTCTTGTTAAGATAATGTAGATTGGGGGGAAAGCATTATTAAAACACTGGCAAAAATATGCTAAATAGTTTCAAGCTCTCTTGAAACCTCATGCTGCAATGTAAGGTCATTCCAGGGAAGCATTTCAATTAGAACAAAAGTCTGTCAAACATTCGTTATATGATGCTGCTGACCAGAAGATGAAATGGAAGAAGTAACATTCAGTGTAAAGTCTCTCCCTATTCACCAACTGTGAATTGTGGATATCTACCTAAACTTGCTAGGAAATTTCCGTAGCATTTTGGAACAGAAAAAATCACTGAAAAAAAAGATGGAATTCATTAAAAATGTAAATAGGGTTTCTCCCCTCCTCCTCAGTCTTTTCATTTCTTCATTTCATTCATTATTGCATTTATCTATATTCTCAGTGTTATTGATAGAGAACTCTAGCAGTCTTCTCTTCCCCCATTTCTCATTTCTCTGTTGGTGTTTGGCAAAACTTCAAGTTCTAAGAGACTGCAGCAAAAAGTCTTGTGGTAGGTTCTGATTGCATTTGTGATCTCTGAGCCAGTTAAGAACAATGCCAATTTGTTCAGCAAACAAGATGCTGCCTCTGATAGGATCAGCTAACTGAGATTGTATTAAGGGAATGCACTCCTACTGGAAATTACGTCACAGATTTTTAAAATTTGTTTTTTGGAAAAGAACCAAGAACTTTAAAAAAAGGAAAGCTGTCTGTATATGCACACATACCCACACCCTACTCCTCTGCCATTACTTTTATGTTCTTAAGTGTTTGTCCCCATGGGTGGGGTTTATTTTGGCTTATTTTCCAGGAGGGGTAAATAGAGTAGGAATTATTCAAGTGTATAATACCATCAGTACTTACTACCTCTACTCCCTTACTAGGATCAGAACGGATGACCTTTTTCTATTGCACCAAATCAGTTCAAGGCTGAATATGTCAAATTACAGCTAACAAGTTTAAAGCTGGCTTGGAATCATGTTCTAATTTCCATAACACAGATAAAGGCAATCTGATGTCAAGTCCTTTCACCATTTGCATT